ATATATATATATAAAATATATGTGTGTGTATATATATATATTCTTTCATATATATATTGGTAATCATGGTTTAATATTAATATTTAGAGAGGTATAATCAAATATAGAAAGCAGATACAATGTTTAAAAAATATTATTAAATATCGATAATGCCAAAAGAACACTTCAATTTAGTTTGCATAACAAAGCTGAAGTAGAGATCTAAAAAATCTTGAAGGAATCCTTCATTTTTAGTAATTATTTATTCTTCAACAAAATAAATCATAGTTATCAAAATCATATTAGACATGGATCAGATCACCTCTCGGGCTACTAAATATTGGCTAAACTAGTATAATTTTTTTTATTAGTTAAATATATTAATAAATATTAATAAAAAAATATAATATAATTGATAAACATATTTAGTTCTATGTTAATTGAGGAGCATGGAAACTCAGCGTAAATTATCTTTTGTTTTTAAAGATACTTTTTAAGGTCCAATATAATTGGTATTCAAAATGAATAATGCATCTCAAGTTTATGTGCTTAAACTATCAAAGATGAATGATGATTTCTAGATGACGCTTTTGGTGGCTCACAATGTCTTAGTTCATACAGAGAGACACTTAGGGAAACCAAAGCTTTATAATTATTTTATTTTTATAAAAAAGGGTCTAATTTTTAACTCATATCTCTTTTAAGTAACTTATAATCTATGTAATAATCTTGGATAACATTATCGATGAAGTTTTGCCAAGTAAATGAGTGTTTGACCTTATTAACAAAGAATCGATGGTTTTGTGAACCCATATCTCTTTTAAGTAACTTATAATCCATGTAATAATCTTGGATAGGATTATTGATGAAGTTTTGGTAAGTCAACGAGTGTTAGACTTTATTAACAAAGAATTGATGGATTTGTGAACCCATATCTCTTTTAAGTAACTTGTAATCCATGTAATAATCTTGGATAGGATTATTGATGAAGTTTTGCAAAGTAAATGGGTGTTAGATCTTATTAACAAAGAATTGGTGGATTGATGCACCTTTGCTATTTAGATACCAAGAGCTTAAATCATTCAAAGTTAATAACCTACAACTTTCCATAGTCATTAACTTAAGATACATTTATGAGAGCAGAGGATTCATGCAAATCAAGTTCTAACAGACTTTGGACCTTAAAATACTTGGGTAAGCACGTAAGTGGATGTTTAATTGGTTTATCTAGCATTCCTTCCTGAGAAAATATTTTATAAAATAAAGATAAGAAAATATTTATAAAAATATAAAAATATTTTTTATCTCATGGTGATGTGTCTAATTGGCAAGACTCTTAAAGTCAAATTTTGAGTCCAAAATATTAATCATGTCAAATTTATATCAAACTACCTCTCCTTTCCTCTAATTATCAAAAAAGATTAATTTAATTAAACTTGAAATTTAAAAATTTTGAAATAGTATACCAAACACAATGGTATCTCAATAAAATAATATTTTATGAACAACTAATTACTTGTTCTACTTTTGACATATTCTGACATCAATCCCATGAAGCATGTTAGTCGTCACAACGGGGCCGACATGACGTTCTAGAGATAGAGATGATGTGGCGTGCCGACTCGACATTGGATCTATATAGGACAGTGGCCCGTTATCTATGTTGTCAGCCTATTGCTCCTGCGTTGCTCGAGGCTATACAGAGCGGCACCACCCGATGTTGAGTGACTCGAGAAGCGTAGGGCGATGTTGCACAGAACAAGACTAAACAGATAAGCTTGTGCTTGCACCAAGCGTATAGTCTAACTGTTAGGATCAAGAGCACTAAGAGGGGGGGGGTGAATTAGTGCAACGAAAAACTTTCTGTGATTAAAATGAAACTGCGTTCGAGCGATAAAAATGATTTCTATGTGAAAGCCGATTCTAAGATTACTTTAACTTAAGATCAAGCAAGATGATGTTAAAGTCAATCTATGAAGGCAGTTTACAGTTATGATGAAAACCAGAATATAAGAGCAAACTGAAATACGACGTTCGTACGAAGAAACTGATTTACATCTAAATGCTGATTCGTAAATCACTTGATTAGGTGAGATGCAGTTTAAGCAAGGGTATAAAGGTAGTTTGCAATTATGGTAGAAATCAAAACGTAAACGAAATCTGAAATATGATGATCGTACGAAAAAGCAGATTTACGTCTAAACGCTGATTTGGAAAGTGCAAGGCTTGAAACCCGATCGTATATGCGCAGAAAGCAATAAGCTTCAGAGGAGGTTTGCAGTAAAGATAATATGCTCAAAGTAAATGCAAACCAAGATTTAGAGTGGTTCGGTCAATCTTGACCTACTCCACTTTTGGCTTCCTCCACCGACGAGGTCACCGACGTCAACTAGAGGCCTTCCTTCAATAGGCGAAGGCCAACCACCCTTTTACAGTTTCACTCCTTTTGACGGGCTTAGGAGACAACCCTTACAGAATTTTCTCTCCTCTCTTTACAACTCAGAACTTGAAAGAACAGAGGGAGAAGAACTTTTGGCCTTTACAACAATTTTGAGCTTAAGAATCACAGAAAAGGATTAAGATTTCGGTGTTAAATTGCTACCTTTCAGTGCTGAATGGGTGGGGTATTTATAGGCCCCAACCCAGTTCAAATTTGGAGCTCAAAACTATCAATTCCCGGAATTCCGAGATCAGGCGGTTGCACCTCCTGACTGGAGCGGTTGCACCGCCTGGCAGAGCTCGAAGACTGAGCCTCTGGGTGGTGCTACCTCCTGTCAGGGGCAGTTGCACCTCCTGACAGAGCTCGAAGGCCGAGCTCAGGCGGTTGCACCTCCTGACTAAGGCGGTTGCACCTCCTGACTAAGGCGGTTGCACCGCCTGGCAGAGCTCGAAGACTGAGCTCAAGCGGTGCCACCTCTTGTCAGGGGAGGTTGCACCGCCCAGTCTCGCTCGGAGACTAAGCCCCAGGCGGTGCCACCGCCTGGCTGGAGCGGTTGCACCTCCCAGTCTCACTCGGAGACTGAGCCTAGGCGGTGCAACCTCCTGCCTTGGGCGGTTCAACCACCTGGCAAAAATCAGGGTCCGAATAGGTTGATCCATTCGGCCCAATTTGGGTTTTTCAAGGGCCCAATTGCCCCAAGATTAAGTTAATGGAATCACCTCCCATTTCTAACTTAATCAATGTGCTAACTACGATTTTTCCTAAGACATTTACTGCAACTTGCTCCGGTGCGTCAATCGCTTCTTCCGGCGAACTTCCGTCGATCATCCGATGAACCCTCGGTGATGCTCCTGCGGACTTCCGGCAAACTCCTGGACTTGCGACGATCCACTTGGCGAGTTCCGACGAGCTTCTTTGGCAAGCTTATGGACTTCTCAGATTTGTTCCCGCAGAACCTCCGACGACTGTCCGAACTTCCATCGAACTCCCAAGGTGATCATTGTCTTGACTCCGGCGCAACTCCTGCTGCATGTCTCATTTTCATCGTAGTTAATCCTGCACACTTAAAACAAAACTTCGATCGAGACAATTAATCCTAAGCAATTAACCAAGTTGTCCGGCATGTCATTGGTCCCTCGATGCTTCGTCTGATTCTTCGGCGCATCGTCCTCTCCTGCAGCCTATTGCCCAATCGGCCAGTTGACTCCGCAACTCCGATATCCTTGGCACAATACCTGCTGTTCTTGGCCTGATGCCTGAGTCCACAGCCTAAAGCCTTCTGTCGATACGTCGACCGATTCATCGGCCCGACGTCCAATCTTCTGACATGTTCTTCCGGCACAACATGATTTTCCTGCTTTAATTGTCTCATCCTGATCGAAGCATCTTGCGTCACTTAAAACGCAGATTAAATCATAAACATATATCAAGTAGTTTCATCATCAAAATACGAGATTCAACACTAACTTCTTGAGACGCTGACAACCATTAAGTAGCTGCTTACGATGACATTCAATGATAGGTATAAAAGCTGCCCCCTAGAACAATACCAGGGGGTCAGACCTCGAACATTCGAATGCTCTCAACCGTACTTAACCATCCGAGGGGTCAAGGCGAAAAATTCCCCTCGCAACTTCGACCTATGTGTAAGAGCATACCGCTCAGAGAAAAGGAATGAGCCCCAGCTCCACCTTAGGTGGATCAGGCAGACGACATCTTGACCCAGCTCCGAGCCAATTCTCTCCAACCAAGAAGCCACATTGACAATCTTGCACACTCAGAGCGGACCAAGCCATACTGATGACTCGGTCACGGCGTGAAGTTACATAATATTTTTGACATTAGAAGGAGGGTCAATATCACAAGAATGTTAGCTACTGAGCAACCCTAGTGAGCACCCCAAAGAAGAGATGCAAGCTGCCCACTCAACTTTAGGTTTTGAGAGGCAATTGTCTCTCCCTCCGCACACAAATGGGAACACCTCGATTCAGACCCCGAACTACTACTAGAGGTTGTTCAATGCTCCCGAGCTCTCTCCCCCCGGGGTAAGCACAAGACAAATCTAACCATAGGTGACTTACAAGCCAATCGCGCGAGTGATCACACGTGTGATACAACACGTACTCTTTTTATTTATTATTATTTATTAATATTTTATCACTTTATCTTATGAGTTGCATATATTGTGATATTCATGGATATGTTTAATAGGAATCGGATCGTGATAAAATCAATGAGATCGATTCGCCTTTAAATATAGATCCTAAATAATCTCGATCGTAGGTTACTTGAGAAGATATGTTACCGATCTTACATACTCGAAGAGGATCAAGCCATGTTACCAATCTTACACACCGGAGAAGACTAAGTACAAAGTTACATAACAAATATGAAAATATGTTGATGTAGTCAAAGAG